TATATGATTTGATATGTATTGGACAGTGGCTTCTTCTTTTGGAAAAGTTATTTTACTGGGCAGTGTTATTGTTACGGTTTATTAATTTTCTGTTGTTATCCAAACGCACCATTGATCTTGCCGTTCATCACCGAAGACAAATTCCTTGTATATATTTTAGACTTGGTCATTAAAATATTTTGTATTTGTATATATTCTCTTCCATTAATATGTTTGCCAGGCACTTTTCTATCAATACAAAACATGCATTTTAGCTTTCTCAAGCTTTTTATATGTTGCTTCAATCTGTAATAATTTATGGCACTTTTATGATGTGGTATTTACCTTACATGTTCTTTGTATGTTTAATAATTTATTAAACTTGTATGCTGTCCAACTCCCAATAACTCTGGGCACACAAATTGTTTTATTATTTTTGTGAGCCTCTTGAATGTTAAAACTGAGGAACAGACAGGGCAACTCAGTATCTCCCACTCAGTCCCGCTTTCTATAATTTGTTGCTTCAGTTTCTTATTATCTTATCAACTCCAAAGAATAACACAGAACATAAATTTGATGCAAATTTAACAGTTAAAAACCTAAATTCAAATAATTTATGAATTTCTGTAATGTACTGCAGAGGATTTTTCTTAATATTGGAAACAAATATTTGGGAATAGATAACATTTAGCCAATTTTAGCTACATAAAATTTTGTTACATAAAAAATACTCATTTAAAAGATTTTTAGCCATCCTTCAGTAAGTATCCAAGGACCATACCAAAACATTCTTAGGATATACACAGTCATGTTCAATTGATTTTAAGGGCAATGATAGCTAAATTATATGGGGGATATAAATCCAGCTTGCTCAGTTGATTTTGATTACATAAGATACAGATTTTTAAAAGAAAGTACCTGTGTAAGAAATCTGGTGCTTTATTTAGCAGGGTATAGTACTGCCTCACGAACTCCTGCCCTACAAGCAGCGGACTTGGCTTCTCCATCACCATTTCTTTGGTAAACAATGTCAAAGGCTGCAATAGAGGAGGATTGAAGAGAATATAAGGACCATATGCTTCAGGATAATTAGCTTTAAATGCAATCGAATTTTGAAAAACTTAAAAAAAATGTAAAAGAGAAAGAGGGATGTCTTTTTTTTCAAGCTACAGCATGAAGAGCCTAATGATCAGCCAACAGCCTGTTACATTTAACAATCCAATCCCATGCAAGCTTCTTTGAATTTTATTTATTTATTAAATTTACACCTACCTTTCCTCCAACAAGAAATCTATACTGGGATCCCCCTTTATTTAATTTCCACAACAGCATTCTGTGAAGTAGACTGGGTTGAAAAATACAGTGACTGGCCTGAAGTCACCCAGTGGATGGATGGACAGATGAGGGTGGACTTTGAATCTGGACCTCTCCAGTGCTAGTCCAGCACCTTAACCACTACACCATAACAGATTATTTGAAACTTAAGGATGCAAAGGATAAGATCAAACTGTACTCCACTGAGCATTATGGAATCTATTTTTGAGAAAGCATTTATAGATTAATTATCCAAAGTAGCAGATTATAGTGTATAGTCAACAGTTCAAGAATTTTCTAAAAGATATGATCTAGTCAATAAGGTTGCTTTGAAGTTTCTAGGAACATAATACCCAGGAGTTTCCTAGTCACTCTCTGCAAGTATGACCCTTGCAACAAACATTTCAAAGTCAAAAGAACTAACAATTAACTGAATTTCTTATTTTACATAGAATTTAAAAACTCAGGATTCTTAAACACATCTTCTAGTAAACACTCATTAAAATCCCTTTTGGATAGAATAGTACACATTTAACACTTTTACAAAAGAATGAAGTTAACAAGAAGTAGAACCAAATAAATAATCTTCACAATGGATTCTATATTTGAACAGATGTTAACATTTACAATAGTTTCAGTGTTAATTATCCAGAAGAGAAACTGATGATTTCAGTTAACTGTCTACTATAGCATACTACATACTACATATTACTATTACATTATAATTATATTATATTATATTACTATTACATCATACTACACTGGGAAAAAGAAAAAAAGAAATATAGCAATGTTAAGAAAAGAACACCATGAAATAGTAAAAGTGGAATAACTTTTTGCAATTGATGGATTATACTGTAATTCATGAAAGTTTAGAGAAGCTTTTGCTTTTGCATCTGGAAATCATTGCCAAACTTTGCAAAAGTTTAGCAATCCATGCTAAATGGATATTTGAAATTGTTTCTGTAATTCAGGGTACTTCAACTCAAGGAAGGTTTAGAAAAAGCAAAAAAGTTTATAAACTCATATAAAACTACTGCAGTATTGTAGAATTTCAGGTTTAAAAGTGAATATGTAAAAGGAAGTTCACATAAGTGCTACTCAGGTAAAAAATGTGAATAATCACTAGATATGCAGTATTGCAAAGCTCTCACAAGATACATATTGTGCATGAGTTTCTGATGAGTCACATTGCTGTTTTTTAGACCACTATATATCATACCCAAGGAACTGGAGACTGCCCTGAGTATTTTTGACCTGCATTTCTCCAAGAGGCATAGAAGCATTTCATAATTGTTTAGATACCTCTTAAACAATACCCACAACTAATTATCTCCATTATCTTTTAACATCTGGATACTTCAGTAATTGTTTAGCAGTGCAACTAGAAATGGACTTTGGGAGCAAAGTCCAGAGCCTCATAAGCCAGCCCCCGCAACCCCAAAATAACCAGACAGCAGCAAATAACAACAGCAACAGAAAACATGCCTTGTATCTGCACCTGGTTGTCACTGATCATTGCAGCATTATTTTTTCTTCCCTGCAACACTTTTTAAGAATATATCTTATCTTTCCCCACAAAAAATGTTGCTTATATCCATATTCATAATTGCCTTTCACAACCAAAATAATATATATCATCTTCAAAAAGATTATCCATCAGACCTTTAGTGCAAGGCCTGAAGTTATATAGCTACACAATTGAGAGGTTTTTTTCCTCTATATGGAAGACCTTTGAACAAAAATAGAACCATCACAAAACACGTTATGAAGTTCTTTGCATTATAACATTTCTTTATGATTAGCCTCTTCTTCAGTGTTTGATCATTCAAGAAATAGGAAAAATGGCTATATTATATGCCCCTCAGGTATCATTTCAGCCTTCTCCCAGGAAATCTAACACGCATATCTTAATTTTTGTTTCAGAATATACATTAAGAATGTAAATATTTTGGATCACTGTTTGTTCATTTCCCTTCTGAAAAATAAATTTGAAGTAATTAAGTAGGTAAGGAATAGCTTATTGTTACTTTTTCACACTCTAAAAAATTACTGCATAAGGATTCAATATACAGTAGAGTCTCGTTTAACCAACCTTTGCTTATCCGACATTCCGTCTTATCTGACGCCCCTAAAAAAAACACAACACGCATAAATCGGCGACAAGAAAAGTGTGCCGCTTGTTTGTGAGTGTGAGTGTACTCTTTCTTGTTGCTCCTGACGGTGCAGCACCGCAACGCAAAAATCGATTGCAACAGGCGTAGCAGATCGATTTTTTTTTTTTACCACACTCAAATGTTACTGTGTGTTATCTGACATTTTTGCTTATCTGACATTCTGTCGGCCCGTTTATGTCGAATAAGCGACACTCTACTGTATTTTTAATTCCTGCAGGGGTAGAAATAATCCACCACTGGAAATAAAAAAAAGTCATTACTCATTATGATTAATTATTCTGAATATGGGACAATGTTGAGTAAGTTGTTCCTGTACAATAATCATTTATTTTTATTAATTTGAATTTATTAGCCGTTTATCTCCAATGGACTCTAAGTTGGCAAGAAGAAAAATTATTCCTAATGTGATTTGCTTTTTTTCAAATTAATAAGTCAATATATGTAGTTCTTCCTCCACTCATCCACATTTCTTACTAGAAAGATCTCTTTCAAAAATAAGTTCCTACCTGCAATGTATTTATGGATGCTACAATGATGCTCAAAATTGTACTCTAAATTTACTGTTCTTTTTTGTTTTTTTGTTTTTTAAGAACCATAGTAAAGAAAGCCTCAGTAAAGAAAGCATATATAATTACCCTCCTTTTATATTTATAAAAACTGGTTGGTTGATGTAGAGTGTAAGGAAATGATCTTCCTTATTTTTTGAAGAATTTTATAAGAAATATAAAGTGAAACTATCTAAAATAAATATCAAAAAGTGGTTCTGGAAATGAAAGTGCACACAGGAATTTGCATGTTTTTCTGTTTTCTATTGGCTTTAACTGGAGCTAGAAAGTTAGCAACAACACAAATGGGAGGAGGCTCTGTCATAGTCCCACTTCTAGAACTGTGCTAAGAATTCCGATTGCAACAGTGACCAAAAGAAAAAAGAAAAAGCTACATACACAGACACCATAAGAAAGGGATGCATATGCTCCAAACTGAATTTACCCATATATACCTCAAGGCTTGTAAAAGACAATACTGTAACACTGAATCCTTCTTCACCATTATTAAGGAACATTTCTGGATTACTAAACACTCTCAAAATGAGATGTAGATTATAACAGATACATAGAAACGGAGCAGATTTAGAGTAATCAATTATAAATAAGGTCAGAACCTGCTTTAGTATAACTTGCTTTAAACTCTCAGATGGAGGCCATCTGGAACTTTTAATGTGGTGGCACACTTTCTAGATCTCAAAGACTATCAGTTTACAGAAGTGAAAATTACTGCCCTCATGATCTTTATGAAGAAGTAACTAAATGCTGCCCACAACTGTTACTATGGAAGCAGAATCAGCATACCAAATGATACTTGCAGAGAAAGCTCCAAGAAAGAAACTTTGTAAACAGAGAATTGTCTCAAAAGTAGTGAAAGCCACTAAAATATTCCGAAGAGCTCTACAGCACTTGGACAATCCCAAGATGCAAACACCATTGCATCTGCCAACAGACCAAGAACATAGATGATAAACTGACTTCCTAAAAGCAAGAGGGAATCAGAAACTCTCAGTACCATATAATAAAAAACATTCCCAGAAATTTCAAATTTTCCTACAGTCCATCCTGCTATGATTGAAGTTCTCAGGCGTCTGACCCAGTGGACATGATTACCTATATGCATGTCAGTCTGAATGTAGAAGTGGTCAAGTAAGCCATAAGAGAGAAAGCATTTTCACTGGAGAATCTCACGTTGCAATGTCTGTATAGTACACAAGGATTTTATTGCTTGATCCTATCAATCCTAAAACAGTACACTAATTCAATTGGATACTGCATCAGTTAGATTAGCTCATCAAAATCTGGAAGAGATTTAGCAAATAACCATCCATGAGTTTGCAAACATTAATGCTGTGTCACATATTCCCAGAACTGCTCCTTGTAAGCTCAAACCACAGTAGCTGCCAAAAAAATCTCAAACCATATCTCATGGAGGACCAGCAACCTGCATCACTCCCTATATCCATTAATAACTGTTGAGATCAATCACTGATCATGTACCTGTAGAATGTCTTGCTGCAGAAAGGAAAGAAAGCAAGTATTTGAATATGATTACTGCAAAGCTCTCCCATACTTTTTTATTTTCATATATCTATATCTGTATCTGTTTTCTGGCTTAACTGTATTAACCAAATTCTCCTCTCCCATACAGGATAAGCATACACTAGTCAGAAAGTGACTATGGTGATTGTGGCTTGAACTTCGTATATAGGAAAACTCCATTAATGAATTCTACGTGTTGCTTTCTATCTATTGCAAGCACCAGGCAAAAATCATGATCCTGTTTGTTGTTATCTTGGCTGTCTACAGAAGACCTCCAGTAGATGCAGGGGAAAGAATGTCCTCGTCCTAGTACCACACAGATGCCCCCTCCCAAAAAAGCATGTAGCATGGCATATTTTCATGAACACTGCTATCTGAGTTGTTTCCATGTGGTATGACAGCTTTCCTATTTCCACAGAATTCCTGTATCTTTGCAGATGCACAGGCATGGAGATGGAACACTGGAGAATTTTGCTGTCTCACAGAAACACTACTGAGAAAAGATGATAAGGAGTAATAATTCATTCCAATTTTCCAATATTGACATATATTACAGCTCATGCTTCTGTACTGGTAGACTTCAGCAGCTAAGGATCATTCTCCCTCTTCCATATACACTTTACATAATAGCACCCAAGGTTCAAACTTCAAAGAGATGAAGTTGAGGAGAGACAGAACATCTCATACAATGCTTTCATTTGCAAAATATGCAGCTAGGTCTATAAGCTCGCAATTGAGGAATGAGAAATGTTTCATTAATGTTCTTCTCTTTTCAGCTACAGTGGTTCTGTGGCATACATGTGTTAATTTAGCTTGCTTTTTCTTCTATTTCCTTTTGTCATGACTGCTGGAGAATCAAGCATGCAAAATAGGGGTTTGGCTATAATTCTGTCACTTGCCTGCTAAGGTTTGTAGTAGTTGTATCTGTTCCCATCTCAGTGCAATAATAAAAATAAGAACAATTAGGAGACTCTTAAAGGACAGTTGTGGCTTCTGTTATAATGATTCTTAATAAATTTCAGCCAAATTCAGGCCGAATCAAGCATGCAAAATAGGGGTTTGGCTATAATTCTGTCACTTGCCTGCTAAGGTTTGTAGTAGTTGTATCTGTTCCCATCTCAGTGCAATAATAAAAATAAGAACAATTAGGAGACTCTTAAAGGACAGTTGTGGCTTCTGTTATAATCATTCTTAATAAATTTCAGCCAAATTCAGGCCCTTCTGGATCTTTAGGCCTATATAATATGTTATCTCCCATCTTCTTTGGGACCAGAAGTGAGCTTTCCAGAACTTGTCAGCTACTATGGGAAATATGATGGACTGGGAGGATCCACATATTGCACTAAATCTTAAAATAAGTATGGTTCACACGTAACACTAAGACATAAACCAGGTTTTACAAACCATAATCCCATTCCACACACAAAATCAAACAAACCATATTATAGCTTAATGCAATATGTGAATCAAGCCTAGTCTGACACTAGTGAGCTCTTAGAATGCTCAGATGTGAATTATGTACACATGCAATGTACACATAGCTTGAATTGGCAAGCAACATATCTCTAGGATAAGAGTATATATATTCACACACATACCTTTAGTTAAACTCCAGTGACAGATATGCATGAAGACTAAAATGGGATTTTTTTTAAAGCAGACCATCCTGTTTTGTTTCTACATCAAGTGCAGGATCAGTTCTTTTGCTCACTAAACTACCAGAGTTTTAGAGGAAGAAAAAAGTCTTCAAGCGATGTGTGCTTGAGCATATATAGTAACATGCTCAGAAAGCAATAGCTGTACAACTAGGAATTAGCACATAATATCCCCATTTAGTCTGTGAAATGAGAGTTGGCATAGCATACTGGTCAGCAGCTACCAACCAGGAAGACATTCACAGTATTATCCAGTACTGATCTACCTTACAGGGGTGTTCACATAATTACAAGATGTTCCATTATAAGATTTAGTAAAGGGTCTATCTGTGTGTACATGTATGTATTCTTAGGCTACATATGCTCTGATGGCTTTCAAAGGCCAGCTCTAGATACGTTACAAGCTACCTAAAGAGCTTTGAATTTCTATTTTCTCCTTCATGACCTTTTTCAGGAAAAAGAGTAAGGAAAGCCTTTTTCTAAATTCCTTAGACCACGAAGTCGGCCTGCGTGCTATTGACAGCAGCTCCCCCACCCCCCAACATCCCTGTTTTCTCTAACGAAAAGCGCCCCTGCAGAGAACCTTCTCTGAGCTGTAGAGATACCAGCCCGATACCCTGAAAGGAAAAGCAGTCACCTCCTCCCGGGAGGGGCCTTCTCATCCTATCTTACTCCGTTACCCACCTAGACACTCTCTTCGATCTCAGGGTCCGGTTCGCTCCCAGGCAAAGGCACGGGGAGGAGCGACTGATGCTGTGCGTCCCTCCCTCACAGTGATTCGGGGCGGAACCGGATGTCTCTACCGCGCGCTCGATGTGGAGGGAAGAGCGCGCGGTGCGCGCAGAATCGAGAAGCGGCCAGATGTGGGCGGGGTCGAGGTCACAACAGAGGCCACTCGAGTGGAAGCAAAAGATACAGTACCAGACTTTTTTAAGTTAACGGGCCAATAGCAGCTTTCAACTTGGACCGGAAGTTCTGGTGGTCTCTCGCGCTGCTTGTTTATCTATCTTTATGAGTTCCTTCCTCCGCTATTTTCCAGAAACAAGAATTCCACTATCTCAGCTGCAGGCAATCAGAAGAGGCTCCGAGCTGTGACGTCCTCTGAGAACGGCTTCTGTGATTCCCTTCCCCCAAGAGACATCTTTTAAAAAAAGAAGCTCCGCACAAACTTCACTTCCGGTTCCGATGAGAATTTTTCATATCTGGACAGGCAGAAAGGAATTACTGTAGAACCTATAATTTTAATCAACTATTTGAAGATCTCTACCTTTGTAGTGCTCTGAAAAAAATCATATCCTGAATTCCACTAGCCCCAACATTCTGTTTATTATCCAAGTATCTGAGAAAGAAAAAGCAGAGAAGTCAAAGTACTGTAGATACAAAATCAAAACTGAATATTTTATAAATACAATAACAGAGGTTACAGCATTTTAGAACTGAAACTCGTCCAATATTGCAATTTTATAACTCCAATTATATCCAGAATCATCAGAACAAAACACAGCAGTCCAGAAACAAACGTATTTTAAGAGATGTTAATAAATAGAAGAATGTTTTAAGAATAAAATCTCTGAGTGCTATGCTGAATTAAACCAAAAGCATATCTAATCCAACATTTTGTCACCACATTGTCCAGTTTGATGCCAATGGGCAAACACAACAGGATATGAACATAATAGCATTTCATGCTTCTCTTCTACATCAATTGGTGTGATAATTACCATGACTGGTAGTTACTTTATTGGTTTATCTTCTTTATCTAGTAATTTTTTTTAACCCAGCTGGTATTCAGTGCAAAGAATTCTACAAGGGAATTATGTATGTATAAATAAAAGTCAGTGGTTTATTAATCTTAAAGGATTCTTTTTTACTAGTAATAAACAACTCTCAAGTATCCATTTTTTCAGGAGCATGTAATAAAAGGAATTTACAAAAGTTACAGGTGACAGCCTTTACTTAGGGGTAGATAACTCTTTTTACCAGTTTGTCACTCTGCAAGAACATGTTCACCATATGTCCTCTCTGACTTTTTTTTTCATTAATACATAACAACTAGACCATTAACAATGAACACACTGAATTAAAAATAATCAGGAGCTTCAAATTATTAAATAAAAAAAGCATATAGTATAATACATAAGTTTCACAATACTTTTTAAATCCTACCCTTCAATTATCTTCACTCTAGAAAATCTGCATTATCACTGAGACAAATGCCTTTTAACTGATTCTGAATTTTTAGCAAAATGACGTCTTTCCAATTAGGTTAAAAGAGATGATATACATTACAGTATATATTTAATTGTATGTATTATGTCTGTAACTTTTCCATTAAAATTATTTCTAATAATTTGGAATACTAATCTCTTTTCATTTCTGGGCTGAGCCTCTTCCTATCATGCATAAGGAGGGACTTAAAGCAGACACTCCCTGGACATCTAGGTTAGATGAACAGAATCTACCTAGACAGATTTCAATAAAATAAAAAAGATTGTATAGATTCTCTTCAGGCCATTTAAAATATGTTTTTTATTACATGAGATTACATCCAAATCTTAAGTATATAAAGGGATTCTTTGGTCTCTACCATTTTTAAAATGTATTCTTCTATGCATGGGAACAGTGCTTTTCAGCTGAACAGCTATATATTATACTGGGAAATCCCTATTCTCCCTTTCAAGATTTTAAGATGTAATCATTTTTTATTTATACTTGGCCTTTTATTTTTAATACAAATATAAATATTTTGGCATGAATTTAGAGTTTTCCTAGTTAAGGAAACCCATAGTATTTGAAAAAAAATGCTATTATTATTGTTATTATTTATGGTAGCCACCTACTTCAAAAGACTCTGCCATAGTTTTAAGGAGCATAATTATTATTTTAAGGGTATAGTATTCCCTGAAATAGATCAGATTCATGAGTGTCATTACATAAGGTAACCTTTAATTTTATGGCATGGTTGAGTTTGCAGGTGTACTAGAGGAGTTTTTAGGGGCATGCAGGATGGAGTGAGTCACACACCTGGAAGGGAAGTCTTTCTCCCAGGGGACTGCCATAGAACCCTGCTTACTGGGTTGGCCCCACCAAGCACAGATCAAAGCCACCTGGACTCTAGTGGGCAAAGAAAGAGGTCACATGGCAGCTCTGTGTGTGTTGCCCTGGTCTGTTTCACCCAAGCTGAAATGAAAAAATGATTGTATGTCTGTGTGTGTGTGTTATAGTGGGGACACAACAGGGTGAGGAGGAAACATACTGTTTGAAATACAGTTTTGCAAAGCAATCTTTGTAGGGGCAGATATGGATTCTTTATAGAAATATTCCCACCCTCCAGCCCAAATTTTTCAGCATTCAGCTTGGGAAAAATGAGTAAAAGCAGCAGGGAGAGTGAGATTTGCCTCTCTACCCAAAGCTAGCTACCATTTTCATTTTTTTCTCTCTTCCCGTCTCTTTCCTTTTTGCTCCCATCCAGGGTTCATTTGGATTTTTGCAGCTATACAATGATTTTACTGAGCACCTATCCAAGGGCTCATTCTCATGTCCATGTGTTACTCTTTTAACTCCTCTGATTCTGAGGATAAAACGAAGAACCAGGTGGACTCTCAGCCTGAAGTTCAGAGGGCAACAGGTTGTCAGCTGTCTGTGAGTAATAATTTCAGTGCAGGTAGCTGCTGATTCAGAGACTGACCTTGGGAGGGTACCAAGCCCTAAATCTTACTGTCAGCTAAAGAGAGCTGAGCAGTGGAGGTGGCACAGCACCTGAAGAGGAAGTAGCATTAACTCCTCTCATTAACTCTTCCTACAACCAAGGAATCTGGATATATTCAAGCAGCTCCAGACCCCCCTCCTTGTTGAAAACAACTTGCCTGCTTTCCTGACTGTTCCTGTGACACCATCCTCCAAGTTTCCCTGCTGCCTGCCCTGAGATGGGACTTCAGTTGACTTTTGGATTGGCTTCTGTGGAACTCTCTGATGCTCAACCTACAAACTACCTTATAATACTCTTTCACCATTCCTGTCTCCAAATTCTCCTGGCTAGCAGATTGTAGCACTGGCATAATTATGAGGGAAGTAACTCTCCAAACCTTTGTGGATCTTTCCCTCTAAATAGCCAGACCGTACCTTTAGCTTAAGATTTACAACACACCAATAAACACTATCAGGTTTAACTGCTGTGCTTTCTGTCTGCACTAGTCCAAGACTTGCATAGGACACCCATTAACTGTGGCACAAAAATATTCCATTAGCCACTTTTAGAGGACACCACATGAAGCAGCCTTTGTCTCATTGTTAGTCAACTATGGAGGCAGCCTAAAATTGTACTTAGCTGTTCCATTTTTAACATTGTTTTCTGTCTTCTACACTGTAAATGCTGCTTCTACTCAATTGTCCTATTCAATTTTCAAGCTTAAAAATAGTGTTTTCTCCCTTTCCCCATTTTTTTCCTTGCAACTCTTTACTTCCATCACAGTCATCCATTTACTATTTCATGCACCACCTTTTGTCTTTAAAACTCTCACCTCTAGCCAATCATTATTTGTTAGTTTCCCCTTCCTCTGAACCCATGCATTTTCCCTTCATATATTTACTTATGATTCATTCTTAATCATATACGTATACTGTACATATTCACATTCATTCAGCATCCATTTATTCTTGCTCTTCTTGCTTTACCACACGCACACTTCCCAAGTAATCTATTTCCACTTCATTCAGCTTAATGCTTCTACTGATATATCCAACTTTCAACTGCAAATAACAAAGTAGACAGAAGCACACATTTATACACACCCATTTATTTCAACAAACTACATTCTACTCAGTATCTACTATCAGTATTAACATATCTAAAACATTTCTTTGGTAAACATTCTATTGATGAATACAAAGTCATTTACTTGGTAAGTTTTCATCATTTCTGTATAACTTACAAGTGTTCATTTTCCCTGTCAAATGCAACTGCCTTGATCTTCCATATATCAATTTCCAGATCCATATTCTTGTTCCCTCATACAATCTAACATTAACTGCAAATGTGGGTTTAGTCAACACTATGGCATCACTGATCTGCATATTCACATTCTATAAACTAACCTTATCTATATTTTAGTGTTCTTTCACTTACACCGTCTACTGCTGCAGCCTCACCATTCTTCAACTGTCTCACAGCATTTACAAATATTTTTTCACATTTTTTTTTCATGGACACTAAAATTGATAGCATTCGTCTCTTTGTGCTGGAAGCCATTTTTCCTTTCCTGCGAATTGCCCACCAAGATTAATGGGAGCAATCTAAGACACCGTGGCGTGTTCAGAGACTGAACCTCAGAGTTTTAATTTTTAACTTTTAAAAACGTGGAGCATTTGTCTCCCATTCTGCACATGGAGCGTCACCTCAATGTTTTAGGGCAACCGTTTTAAGAATAGCCCATTATTAACAAATTAAGGTGTGAAGCTGAGGCTACTTTGAATTTCTATAGCCAGATCGTTATTAAAGATATCCCTCAGATTACAAGAAAGTTCACTCTTCATTGACTTTGCTTCAATACTTTCCTTTCTAGTCAAATACAGAGTTCAGAGTTCAGTTCAGTGGCAACAAACGCTTTGCTTTCCATTGATTTGATTGCGTTTTAAATGTAGAATATCTAAAATGACGAAACAACATAAAAGCCAAATCTTTTGTTTTACAGAACACACGGGCTACCTCTTCGGAGTTGCGCTAAAACCCCGGGCTGCGTTCTACGGTATGCGACCCCCCACGGGAAAAAAGATGAAAAGATCTACTGAAAACGGAAGTTCTGTCTG